CCCTACGATACAGAAAACTTAATACATTAGAACACAAAGTTTAATTTGTAAATTCTACCAAACATGTATCCACAGCATACTTCTTCCCCCTAGCCAAAGTCAATTGAAGTCAATGGGAGTTTAAAGCAGTAAGTCCCTTTGTTTAATGTTTATAGATAACCTTTTTGTTAGTGTTGGATTAAATGTGGGGGGAAGGGGAGAAAATAAATTAAAAGCATCTTCCAGTGACATAAGCCTCATGAAGAATTAACTAGGATAAGCACTTATTCTAGTTGGTGCACTGACAAGCTGAACAATGCAGACAAAAATAATAATTAAAACATAGCTTCATGCTGAGATGAAACTTTCAAGAGTCTCAACTGTGTTGAGCTTATGATTTTTCCATTTTTGTGTTTGCGAGCATAATTATGTCCCAGAGGCAGCAGGAGCTAGTGCTTGTCATTCCCCATTTCCCCCCTCCGAAAGGAGATTAATTTCTTTACACAGAAATCCAAAAGTTGATGCCAGAGCAATAATAATAATGTAAACAAGCCTTTTATTCTTTTAATCTGGAATGCATAATTTAATGGCAGAGTAATATAAATAATGAAAATACCACACATACTTTAGACAATTAAGGGTAAACTGAAAAGTAACATTTAATGTAGTATTGATTGACTGTATCAACAAATGACGGCAGACATCTGTATGGATGATAGCATTTAGAAAAATGCTATAAAGTACATCAGTACAGAAGTAGTGGGGGTGGAATGGAGTAGACTTGATGGCTCAGAAAACTGGTAATGGAATATAGAGCCTTTCACCCCTAGATCACCGATTCAAATTGGCCCAGGTCAATAGGGACTGAAAGTCATTACCATCTGATGGCTCTTCAGTGGCTTGTGTGAAATGAGTTGGTCCCTGTACGGCTCCCAATGGACAGGTGTTCATATCACAAAACCATCATCTATCACGACTGACACCCTGTTGGGACCCTGAGCAAAGGATAGGAAATGAAAGGGCATGGAGTCAGAATTATCTTTACCCTCCAGATCAGGAGTGAGAAACATTGGTGGATTGGGGTGGTGTAGAGAAACTTGTTCTGTAATTGTCTATACTGTAGATGTTCCATTCACATAGGATTTCAGTTTCTAGGCCTATCAATATAGAATTTTTCATAGTCACTTAAAAAATTCCCCCACTGCCGCCCCACCCTTAGAAACAAAAGTAAAAAAGCACAAGGATTTAAATAGTGATAATTATATTGTTAGGGAGTTAGGATAACATGTATTTTTAATTAAAGAGTATCAACCTACAGGTACTTTATCTTATTCCTAATCAGGACTGTAGATGTGTTTTAAAACAGATTTGACCTATGACAATTTACTGAGATAAAGTACAAATTATGGATTTCTTCAGTAACAAATCTGCAAATTTAAAAGCTATTTCTAGTACGTTCACATACTTAATGGGCATGACCTCAAACTGATGTATGGTGTGAAACTCAATGACAATGCTGTTACGGGTTGGATCACAGAAACCCCCTTGGGAGCTGCCACCCGATGTGCAAAGACTACCCCTGCTTCTGTTTTCCCTGCCAGCTCAGGACTCCAGCACCCTGTCTTGCTGAGCGAGACACTCCAGTCTGGCTCCAACACAGACCCAGGGTCTGAATTACTTGTCCCAAAGCTGCAAGTTTACCTGAAAACAGCTCATAGAAGTGTGCTTGTCTTTAGCACTCAGATGCCCAACTTCCAATGGGGTCTAAACCCAGATAAATCCGTTTTACCCTGCATAAAGCTTATGCAGGGCAAACTCATAAATTGTTCGCCCTCTATAACACTGATAGAGAGATATGCACAGTTGTTTGCTCCCCCAGGTATTAATACATACTCTGAGTAAATACTAAATAAAAAGTGATTTTATTAAATACAGACAGTAGGATTTAAGTGGTTCAAAGTAGTAACAGACAGAACAAAGTAAGTCACCAAGCAAAGTAAAATAAAATGCGCAAATCTATGTCTAATCAAACTAAATACAGATGATTTCCTCACCAGTTCCAGAGCACTCCCTTTTACAGGCTAATCTCCTTTTAGCCTGGGTCCAGCAATCACTCACACCCCCTGTAGTTACTGTCCTTTGTTTTAGTCTCCTTCAAGTATCCTCGGGGGGTGGAGAGGTTCCTTCTTTAGCCAGCTGAAGACAAAATGGAGGGGCCTCCCCCAGGTTTAAATAGACTCTCTCTTGTGGGTGGAGACCTCCCTCCTATGCAAAGTCCAGCTCCAAGATGGAGTTCTGGAGTCACCTGGGCAAGTCACATGTCCCTGCATGACTCAGTCTTTACAGGCTGAAGCCATTATCCACATGGTATCTTGCATGTCTCCAGGAAGACTTCTTATGTGGATTGGAGCATTCCAAGATGCATTGTTCCCCAAGTGTTTCCTGATCAGGTACTTAACCTGGCGAATTCCTTCCTAAAGAAGCTGACCCAATGCCTCCCAAAGCTTACTTAGAAACCAAGCAAGTATACAGCCCATATTCTTAACCTCAAGTAGAAAATGATATATATATGTACAAATCGGATGAATAGATATAGTAGACCATAACCTTTACGGAGATATGTTACCTGGCACAGGCAGCACAAAACATATTCCAGTTATGTCATACATACATTTATAAGCACCCCCCCCATAAAGCCTTATGGGGTACACTGTCACAAATGCTTCTTGCCCTTTTATAAACTAATACAGTATTTATATGGTATCAGTGTGGGATACGTTTTCAGAAATGGTGTCTGTTAAGCGTTAAGAGACAGAATTTGGACCACTTCAGTTTCCCCTGGACACACAGATTCCCACCAGCCTGCTTGGCATTCTACAAAATACAGGAAGCCACCCAATGCTACTCTTCTCATCTGAAAATCTTAAACTTCTGAACCTTTTACTATTATAGGTGCCTGTTTCACAGGAGAACAAACCTGGACAATAGAAACAAATAATGTTTCCTTAGAAGGACTTGGGCCTGTATAAGGAAAGAGAAGTTGTAGATAGTGGAACAAATTGTCAATGAGTAATGTAAGTCCCTTCCAGTGGAGATATGATGCAGATGTGGTAAATTAAATGCAAATCTTTATTTTGAAGCTGCTGGGAACACACAAAGTTTGTTTCCACTGAGGAAAAAATGACCCACTGGTGATTGGTGCAGCTGAATAGGTGCTGAACTCAATTTAGCTGCATGTTCAGACAAGGACAAATTGTGTTCAGCACCATTTCAGATCACTCAGAACCATGTATCAAGGTGCCTGGGTTCAGATACCCATATGTGCTTATTTTCTACTATGTGTTTCAGTGCTTACAAAATCAAGTAAACATACAGTATATGTGAATATGATTCCATGTACTGTACATACATACATACTGTATTTGGATGTGCAATTGCACAAACATTCTCTGGTTTAACTGAATCTCAAATATTCAAATATTTTTAGTTTAAATGTGCACTCATGGTTCTTTATCAATTAAGGATATTAAATGGAAAACAAGTTAATGAAATATTGTAATGGAAATTTTAAATATACAAAAATTATGAAATTTATTCATAGCACCAGCAGCAGATTCATAGATTCGAAGGTCAGAAGGGAACCACTGTGATCATCTAGTCTGACCTCCTGTACAGTACATAGACCTTTCCCAGAATAAAAGATGTAATTAAAATACATTGAACATATACAGTAAAGTGTAAAAGAAACGTAACAGCATATTAAGTGAACTACCTATGTTCAAAGAAGCCAGTTATTGTTGGCATGGGAATTGTAAACAGAAAAGGCATATAGTGGTCTCCACAGAGGTAAATAAATCAACATCACTTAAAAATCAAGATTGAATGTCCTTCTAAAAAAGATACACTCTAATTCAACCACAAGTTACTGAACTTGCTGCAGGGTTTACTGGGGGGAAATTCTATGGTTTGTGCAATACAGGAGGGCAGACCAGATAATCGCAATGGTTCCTTCTGGTCTTAGAATCTCTCGGTTTTAAAACCTTGATTTTCAGTCTCCACACAGAAGTATAGGTTGATGTACGGGAGTGGTAGCACCGGATTATGAGTTGACTGAACTGTGTATTTGTTTTTGTGATTTTAAATAACTGGTGGGGTGCTCAGAGCCTGAGTGTGGGTGCTCTTTATTGTTTTATGTCAAAACAAAACAAATACATGTTTGAAAAAGACCTAGCACTATTGGCACTATACCAATAAAAAAAGTGGCTGATTCCCAATTTGTGTTGCCAGGATCTCAACTAACATGCCAGTGAAATAGGCTTTTTGATCATGTTGACCTGTTTGGGGGGAAATGGAGAAGGTTGTATTTATAATTCTACCCAGTTTATATAATAAACACAACAGATACATACCTGCCACCACCAGAAAGCTATAAATAAGGATGTTAGCAAAGAAAAATATGGATGACTTTGAACTACATTGAACACGAAGAACAGTTTAAAAAATAGGGATGATCCCTCGTAAGCAGGCAGAGTTGGCAGGTAGGCGAGCACTGCATAGCCAGCTAGCTGCAAGGTACCTTACAACTAGAATAAAGTACAAAGCACTGACCCATCTAATTCACGAAGAGGCCACATTTTCCACGGGGCTCGGAACAGGCACCTGCGAAGCGTGCGAGCGCAGCTGCTGGTGGGGAGCCCGCACCTGGCCTGCAGGTGCACGTTCAGCGGGAGGGCCCTGAGAGGCCTCCTCGCTGAGCACCCAACAGGCCGGATGGGGGGCTGGGTTCCCCAAGGGGACACAGGAGCCCGCACCTCCCGCCTAGCTCTGCGGCTGGGCCGTGGGCGCTGGAGCCCGCCACTGCCAGGCTGCCCTCGCAGGCGGCGGTGGGGCTGTCCCGGGCTGTGCGCGGAGCGGCTGGGCTCGCCCGTCGCTGCAGTGGGAGGCCCTGCCCCGAGAAGCCCGCCCAGCGGCGGCAGGAGGAGGCGGAGCTCGCCCGCTCAGCGCAGGAGGTACGAGCCGCTGCTGACGTTGTTGGGGTGGGGGAGGGAGCACTCCAGCCCAGCCGCGGCCGTTGTCACTGCGCTTCCCCCAGGGCCGTTGCCTCACCTGGCGGACTCGACCCAGCGAGTCCCGCCGCCGTTAGCGGATCATCGCACGAGCGTGGCCAGCGCCATCGGTGGCCCGCCCTCTTCCACCTTTGCCTTCTCTTCATTGGTCGAGCAGAACCTCTCGTCTCCTCGATTGGTCCAGGTGCGCTGCCAATCTAGGCGAAGTGACGTTCCCCGGCTCCCTGCTCGGGGAGGCCATTTTGGTTGCGGGCGGGAAAGACCCTGGGGGAAATGGTGCCAGTTAGGGGGTGGTGCGTGGAGTGCCCGGAACGGATCGGGTCCAGGCTGCCTGGCGCAGCGCCTGCCTGCCGCAGCGCGCCCACCCGCTCCACTTGCGTCACCCTAACCCCGCGGCCTTCACCCGGCCAGTCTCTGTACACTCGCACCCCGCCCTCACCGTAACTCCCTCTGGAGCTGTGGCGACTGGGGCCTTTGGGGGCTGCAGCAGTGGCTGATGCTTACAAAGAATTAACTGCCGCTCCTCAAAGGGGCTCGTTGGCAGAGTCACTTCACCTCCCCCAAACGTGCTAGGCCCTGCGGGGTAGGGGGCGGGGGGGTTGTTCCCAAAAGACGCTCCTTGGCAGACGCTGGGGTTGGCATGATTGCGTTGTTCTTGAATCAGTACAATTTACCCTCCTAGGAGGAAGTGGTTTGTGCCTACGTGGAGCCCTCAGAGATATAACACCGCCCCAGGTCAGTATTTTAAACATGAACACAGGGAAGATGAGGAACAAGGCTTGCTTTTGCAAATGATCGTTCTGCTGGGAGTTATTCTGCATTTCTGGGAAATGGCCATTGTTCCCCTATATCCTTGTTCCTTACCAAATAGTGAATTCTCTTAGCATTTAGATTTATTAACGTGAGCCTGCTCAGTAGAAACAAAGCCACTCTAAATTAGACTTTAAATCGTCTTAAATAACTATTTTGCTGCTGAAAACAGAAAACTTCAAAAATTTAAAGTGCTTTAAGGATATAGTGCTTTGAGAAATATTGTTTTTACTTAAATGGAGAATACTGCCGAAACTGGTAATATATCTCCCAGTGGAAGTAAGTTTGTTTATTTTCATGGAGTTCAATATTAAATACTACCAGCCATGAACTGCTTGTGATGGTAGCAGCCCAGGTGTCAAATCATGAATTCATTTATCACATTTCATGTATTGTTTTTTAGCTGCTCCACAGCTCTGGTTGCAAAACTGATGGTGGCAAATTGTAACTTGAAGCCAGATGTATACCTTTATACAACATCCTGAGTGAGGTTAGTGCTTATTGAAAATAAGGGACTAATAATATTAACTTGAGCTAGGGTTGGGGCATGCATCATGCAAATTCCCACATACTCCTCTGACAAATTATTTATATTCTGAACTGAAGCTCTTCATCTTTCGTTCTAGAGCTTCTCAAGCACAACATGCCAGATTGTTTGCTAGCTTTGTGATATGGACGAGAAAGAGCGAATCAAAGTAATTGTTGATCCAAGGCAGGATTTGAACACATGTCCCTACAAGGCCTGTGTGCTAGTCTGCAATACCATAAAGCCTTTTGACGCCATAATTGTGGATTGGCTTGTAGGGTTTACTGTTTTCGAATAGCATGCAATGTTGTAGCTGGGTTGGTCCCAGGATATAGGAGAAACAAGGTGGGTGAGGTAATATCTTTTATTGGACCAATTTCTGTTGGTGAGAGAGACAAGCTTTCAAACTTACACTGAGCTTGTCTCTCTCACCAACAGAAGTCGGTCCAATAAAAGATATTATTTCACTCACTTTGTCTGTTTTCTTTCACAACGTTGTGCTGCAGATCTGCTATGTATTTTTTGCTTTTGAATCTCAATTATTGGTCACTTAAATTTATTTAAAAGCAAAACTTTAAAAATAAACTAGACAAATAGTATTTTCTCTTTTACCTCCCTCCCCCCCAATTTACACTGAATTGTAGTTAAAATCATCCCTTTTCCTCAGAAAAGGAATTGGGAAGTTTTTTGGTTGTTTGTCTGGGATATCTTTTCATATTAACTGCTCAAAAATATTTTACTATGCAACAGAAGTTCCTAATTACAGAGAATACCCTTTTTATAATAGGATATTTTGCAGTGCCTTTATGTTTATCCTTGAAGTTAGGATGGTGAATGTTACAAAGAAGTATTTCTAGGGAAAGGATGATTATAATGGTGAGTTCCATAGTGGACAGTCCTGGTTCCCTATTATATCACAGATAAAGTATTATCAGAATGAGTCATATAAAGAAAGTGGCATGCAAATAGTGTAGGTCTCACCCACCCTGGCTATCTCTACTTCCCTTGCCCCCCAAAACCCCCCAGGAACCAACACAACAAAATAACCAACATACATACACCACAGTACATACGTACTTCTGAGAAACAAGATTGTGTTTTCTGTTGTGAAACTACAGAAATGTATATGTTCTGGCACAATCCCTGTCTGAAAATGTTATGGGTATTCTCTTGTAAATAATGTTTCATTTGCTAACAGGTTCCCTTTTTTACTAAATAAAAAAAATGAAGAGAATTACATGAAGCATATACAACCGATAATTTTTTAAAATAAAAAATGAAGTGCTTTTCAATGCTATGGATACCTTCATTTCAAATGAAGTCTACAATGATTAAATATTAAAATGATCGATGCTTTAAATTAATATAAAAACTTTGCAGGAGATTATTACAAAGATTAACTTTTTTAATGTTTTAATACCTCCACACTTTATCAATCACAGACACTGAAACTGTTTTCACATCACCATACTGATGATCTCGTATATCATTGCAGTATTATGCACTAACTGTATAAACAGCATGGTAATGTTGGTAGAGAAGATGAAGAAACACAATTCATGTTATTGCTCTTTAATATGCAGTTTTGGTGTTGAAATATTCTTTGACATGTGAATGAGTGAGTAGTTATTTTTCTAATGCTGAAGATGAGACAGAAACCCAATCCAAGGAATGAAATTAAATGTCATTTGCCATTCATAAAGGAACTTTGTTTCATGTAATGACAAACCTAGGTGGTCTGTGGCAAAGGTTGAAAGAAGAAGAAAAAGCCCTAGCATGTGTTTTCTTAGGGAGGACCCACATGAATGCAGCCTTAGTATCCTAAAATTGTCTGCAACTGCCTATGATTAGAGATACATTTTTACTCTTTCAGTTTGAATTATGTTTGCGGGTCATGAGAAAATGTCATGGCACCCCAGGTGCTTTTGTTTCACTAGCTGTATGTAGCCCTACCACTGTAATTCAGAGGATTGACTAAACATTTACCCCAGGCGTTCTTAAAATGGAGGATGCTAATTTCTCTGTTTTACATTTCTTCTGGATTTCCTTAAGCAGTGGGTTTAGTATTATTTTTCTTGATTTCACCTAGCTAACCATCTATTCCAGTTGTACTATGCAACTTTATTTTGTGTAGCTTATATATCCCAGGACTCTTTGCAGAGCTAAATGCAGAACAGTATGTGAATAAATTATTATTTATTTGAGTGTCAACACTGTGCTTGGTGCTATACAAAACAAAGAAGACGTGATCTCTGCTGTATTGTGCTTGCAGTCTCAAACACAGAACAGTGATAGTATTTTTAATTCATAACCATGCAGTGTCTAAGTCCAATAAAAGAGGTAAAGAGGAACACGGAGGCATAGTCAGAAAAGAAATGATAAAATTTGATTAGAAAATAGATGGAGAGCTGGCAAATTGAATAGATACAGAAAGATTGTTCCAGATGGGATAACCTACAGCAGAGAAAGTTCTTGCACCAAAAGTGAAAAGTTTGAGAGAATGGACAGAGCAAAGGTGGATGCTAGATGAATGTGGAAAATGGCAGTGAGAAGAGGAAGTCCAGAAGGTAGACCGGAAAGGACAATATCGTAAACAAGGAAGACATTGTTATTCATATAGGCCAATTTGTTATCAGCTGTAGGGAGTGCCACAGAGTTCTAGTGTTTTGTTAGGCAAATCTCAAACCAAACATTTCACAGGTGGCTGCTAACTATGTTGTTCATTTTCTGGGTGCTTGGGAATCTGATTTGCAGAACGGTTGAGCACTTGCAACTGTAACTGAAGTAATTGGAAACTGTGCTTTGAACATGTAAATGCTAACTGTTCTCAAAAGTCAGGCCCTAGATGTCTCAAATTGGGCAACCAAAATTAGTTAACACTTCTGACCTTAATCTCTTTATACCTCAGATCTCCATCTGTAAAATGGGAATAATACCTTCACATCACAGGGGTGTCATGAAAATCAATTAATGTTTGTGAAGCACTCAGATATTGAGTAATGAGCACCAGATAAAACCCCATCACAAAATTAATATTGCTGCCTTCAGAGCAGGGCTTGAATAGCATGCAGTAAATAACCTAGGTCACACACAGAAGAGCAAACAAAATATTGAATTGCTGCTCATTCAGCAAACACCATCCATTTTGTGCACTGTGTGAAGAAAGGGTCCTGTGGAAAAAATAGTATGTGATCATGTAATTAAAGACTGTAGTGTAGGGTATAAGGTAGTATTCCTATAATTAATTTGTGACCCCTCTAGTGGTGCTCACTGTGTTTTGTGTTGTAAAAACCATGTGAAACCAGTTCGAGTTGGCCGTATTTACATAGCTAGGCCTGGCAAGTTTGTTAGGGCTTTGGAGCTGTGCTCCGGCTCTGCTCCAGCTCTAGGCAAAAGCCTGCTGCTCCACTGCTCTGGAGCTGCTCCGTGCTCCAGCTCCGGGCTCCGCTCCAAAGCCCTGTTTTATATTAAGTAAAAACATTTATTTGTGATCCCTGTGGTTTCTTCAAATTGACAAGGGAGTGTCTTAAAAGTCACAACACTACCTAAAAACTTTGTTGAAGGCCCCGGATCCTGCAAAACTATATGCACATGCTTAACTTATGTACTATGCGTAGTTCCATTGACTTCAGTAGCTTAGAGTGAGAATAGGATACTATGATGAGTAAGAACACCTTTCTTCACTTCTACTAAAGTCAATTTAAAGACAGTTTCACTTGAAACTGCATTGATAGAATTTAGTTACCCAGAATGGGTTCTTGTTTAGCTTTGGAGCATCAAGGTAGTGTGGCTGCAGACACGATCATGCAACATTGATTTATGTCATATACTATCATATAATACAAAGGAACTGCACTTAACACTTTTGAATATATATGTTGAGGTAGCACCCAAAGATCCCAATAAGGAAGCAAGTCAATGTATAACCTGTAGGAAGATCAATCCCTGCCTCAAAGAGCTGACAATCTGATGAGACAAAAAGACAAAGTAGGAGAAAGGATAAAACATGCAAGCAAAATGGACAGGGTGATGGCAGGTAAACATCATGTTAGTCCTATGTCTTTTTTTTTTTTTAAACATTTGTTAATATGTTCTTATTTATGTTCCAGAAGCTCTGGGCCAGATCCTGATGTATTGTGGTGTATTTCAATTGAAATCAGTAGTGCTCTGTGAATTTTGACTAGATATTCAACTATACTGACTTACACCAAATGAGGACCTGCCTTCTAGAGAGTGGGTTTTGGTTGTGGTGCTGTGCTTGGACTGAAGTGGGGAAGAGGGGAGAGAGGCATAATAAGGGAGTGGGTAAAGAGAGAGGGAGATAGAATGGGAAAAGAAGTGGGTGAGGGGTAGGAGAAGGAGGTTAAGATGCATAATAGGCAGGGAGAGTAAGGTTGAGCAGATGGAGGTTTGCACAGTTAAGAGGGGGTGGAATGAAGAGGGTGTCAAGAGCCTATGGCAACTGAAGGGGAAAAAAGACCTCTCAAGATTCAGAGTAGAGAGAATTACAAAGTCAGTGAACTGTGAAGCCTCTTTTGGGAGGGTAGGCTTAGAATTTATTGGCTGGAAGGCCCTGATTTACTGGCTCTGCTTTCAGTTGCTGCTTTTGGGAGGGGGGCTGAGGATCTTGGGATGTCCATATTCTACCCCTATGAGCTTGTTATGCCTGTTGATGTGGTTCCCAATTGAGCAGGATGAGAAGGCTGCCAGGCTGGTGATTTTTTTCTAATGCTATAGAGGCACATGTATAGCAGGTCTCCTTATATTGTGTGTGAATGTGTAATGGAAGTTGCTGCAATTATATGTATGTACACTCTCTAACTTTTGTTTGATTGAAATCTGAGGGTCAGATCCTTGGCTGGTGTGAATTGGTGTGACTTCAACAGAGCTACTCAGATTTTCACCATCTGAGGATCTGGCCCTCAGTTTTAATGTTGTATTCATATGGGTTTTTTTGCATATAC